CCGAGTTGAAATTTTCTCTTTTTGAAATTGACATTGGTAGCTTCAAATACAATTGCTGGATTTAAAAAACAAGGAGAGATGGCCCTCTAAATTCGAACGTCTTTGTGTTGAATTGGAAATATTGGAGAAGAAAAAATTTGATCTTAGTTCACAACACAAGTGGTCTGCTTTGAATGATCTGGAGAAGGAAGACATGATCATTTTCAATGCTTGGAATAATATTCCTGACTCTCAGTTGAAAAAGCTAGCTTTTGCTGTTCTTTCCCTTTTCGGTTCTACATACATAGGCGAACAATCTTTTTCAAGCATGAACATTATCAAGAGTAAACTGAGAAGTTGTCTTATTGATGAGAACTTGGAATCATGCCTAAGATTAAAAACAACAACATACAAACCTGACTTACTCAAACTTTCCAAGGAGATGCAAGCACATTGTTCGCATTAATAAATATTTATTAAGTATGAAATTTAGTTTTATTTAGTGTACTACTTATTTAGTGTAATAAAAGTTTACTAAACAAGCAGATTTGGCTCCTAATTTTTTTTAAAGTGTCGTAATGCTCATATTTGGCTCTTTGGCTAATAAGTTTGCCGACCACTGGTTTAGGTGTCATAGATTAGAATCTCTTCGTTAGTGAATTAACCTGTTGGATATTTTTCGCGATTTTCCTCACTATGAAGCATGAGTGGGGATTAGTTAAATTGAAGGAAGTTCTCTACTAAAGGGAATTTGACTCAAATCAAAATCCAGGAGTTTCTTCATCGGCTCTCACCAACCACAGTGCCGAATTAAACTACTCTCAAATGGTAGAAGGACCACTGGTTTTAATCCCCTAGCTGTCGTGTGATTTTAGTAGCTTTCTTATTCATTTAACGCAAATGCTGGTTAGTTCATTTAAAAAGTTCTCCACGAAAGCTAGTTTGTCCCCAAACTTAATTCAGGATTTCCCTTGTCTTCTGGGTTGTGTTCAAAGTTACAAAGCTAAGGAGTTGAACTTTGATAGTCATAAACGTAGAATTGAGTCAGTATAAAATTAAATATAAAATTGCCCACAGTGACTGTATTTACCACATGAGACCCAGCATCCAGAATATTGCACAACATTTGGCACAATTTTATATTTTCAAAAGAAATATTTTAACGTTTCTTTACCTGTTTGCATGCCTTCGCAAACTAATTGTATAAAAATATAATTGGATTCAGCGTCCTTGGTCAGAATTTAGGAATACAATAGAAAATTTTAAGCAAGGCTAGATATTCCATTCAAGTAACCTTTTGGAAAATTTTATGGTACGCAAATGCCTTATTATTTAAATCCAGTGGACTTTGTTTTATGAAAAAATGTAAAGATATACACTCTGAAAATAGTCTGCAATATGAAAAACATACATAACACTTGTCACTTTTTATTTGACATTTAAAATTATTTTTAAATAGCTATAAAATTAAATAACTCAATTTTCCTATTAAATTTTTTTTATTATCTTTGAGAATTTAATTTTTCTAGAGCCAGAATAGCCTGGTTGGTAGTTAGACTCGTGTTCTTATGAACAGGAGTTCGATTCCAGCCTTTCGAAAAATTTCCGTGCATTAAATGGTGACTTAATGGTGCACATTAAATCTGTCGGGGTCACTCCAAATTCCCATAACAAATCAATATTTTTGGAATTACTGAATTAGAGATGAATCGTTCTCCAATTCAGGTCAAAAATACTATCTGAGAATGGTTTTAAAATTTGCTAATGAATCCTCCCTATGAAACGGGTTGTTACGTATATGTGTGGCAAAGTGATATTCTTGGTGGCCACAGGTGGCACCACTTAAAAAATAAAGTGCACCCTCTGCCTTAATCCACTTGATTTCAAGCAGGCTTGTTGATATTGGGAAGCGGCATAGGTAACAACAAAATTTTTTTCCAATCTCCTTATTAACAAGAAAAAAATAATTTTTGCCATTATTTAAAGTTTAAATCTCTAGAAGATTATAGAGACCTAAGAATTTTCCTAATTTGAACAACAGAGCTATTAAGATTTAAGCAAGGTGAAATAAACAAATAACATCCGAGACGTGTTTTATACAGAATTTGAGGATTATTTTCCCGTATATTTCATTTCAGGATGCAACTGTGGATACAACTCTAGAGGATGCAGTTTTATTAACGGTGAAAAAATCTGTAATTGCAGAATCGGTACCGGTAACTTCGATGGCATATGTCAAAGTAGGTAAACCTTTTAATTTTAGATCTATCATAGATCATAGAAGAATCATTATGCGAAACACACTGACGAGATAGTTTCAAACCTATGTAAAAATTAAAAAAAGTTAATCTCACTCATGTACTGTGACGTCTGCTAAGGCATAACAATTTAAACGGCCCATAAATTACGAACATACACATTTATGCGCAATATATGAAAATCAGAGTTAATTCTTATTGCACATTGTCCAAAAAAAACGTGTCTTTGGGCATAAGCTTAAAACCAATCATTGGAATTTTTCATACTTAGTTTCCATCTTCATGTTTCAAGTGCGGACTATTATGTGATTCTCGAATGCTAAATTGGGGGAAATAATAGAATTAATGTGATAATTTATCACAAAATACTTATTCAGATATTATTCATGATCCCAGGTTATTATTATTAATAACCAAATGAAGAAACAAGCAAAAAAAAATGTCGCACTCTTTGTGCATGCAAAGAAAGTATTAGTTTTTAAAAACAAAAACATAGGGTATACTGGTTAAGGCCCGCCCTAGCTTTTTAAAATGTAAAGGAGAGGAAATTGTGGGTATACTACTCTTCAAATAATGAACAAAAATGGAAATATGAAACTCAAAAAATGACCTAATGAAACCTTGAGTAACATATTTAATTTTCGATACATATCCTATCCAATTTTAAGTTCATACATGCCCATCTAGATTCATGGGATACTTAGTTAGAGAAAAAGAAAATTAAAAATTTGCAATATAGGCAAAAGAAATTAAACAAAAGTAAAACCTCCTCTGAGACCTCTTAATATCGTCTCGAACAGAGACTAAACAGAGACATCTAGAACATCTCGAATAGAGACAGTCAGAGCCCAGCTCTCTCCTTGAAATTTTCTCTTTCTTTCAAACCGGCCAACTCCTCTCATCGCCTATTTTCTTTTTTTAAAGTTTTTGAATTCGAGCTATTTCATTAAAAAATTTGGTGAAAATAAACTACTTGTCCACCGGAGGACTAACGAATTTTGGAAACAAAGGGCGACAGAGGAATAAAACAGACGTATGTTCATTGAAAACTATAAAAAGAAAGTTGCGCAGGCATTTTGGAAAAGCTGCTCAAAGATGTCACTGTGTTTAGTATAGAATTCTTAAAAAGTACAGAGTGTACTTTGGACAATATGTAATCTAACAATTACCAGTTTCTTTATAAAACATGTAGTTTAAACATCCTGATCCGGTACGATAATCTGCTGTTGCAATTTAACACTAGAATCGATCAGCAATGACTTTGCACCGCTATCTGTAGGTAGGTTCAGTACCGCTATGTTATTATAACTAAGTTCGATAATTTCTGTACAAAATACGAGGGTTGTAAATTAAATAGTGGCAACTTAACCTTGAAACGCACAGAAGGGTGGGCATGCGCAAATAGGATATGGGAACGGTGAAGTGGAGTTGTTGTCGATGTGTAGAGTGCAAAAAACAGTCGATCTGCTTAGAAGGGTAGTTGTTGTGTGGCGCTAAAGTGAGGAGTTTCGTTTCCATCGCTCTAAAGCATGTTTTCAAAAGGTGATCAGCGGTCGTCGCTTAAAATCGAGGTTGTCCGCGGCAAAAATGCAACAGAATGCTATCGAGGATTAGTGGAAGCTAGTGACGCAAATGCTTTACCGTATTGGACAGTAGAACGATGGGTTCAAGCATCTCGTCTTTTTCGTCATTAAACGTCATTTTTCGTCATTTTCGCCTTTTGAAAACATGCTTTAGAGCGATGGAAACGAAACTCCTCACTTTAACGACACACAACAACTACCCTTCTAAGCAGATCGACTGTATTTTGCACTCTACACATCGACAACAGCTCCACCTCACCTCTCCCATATCCTATTTGCGCATGCCCACCCTTCTGCGAGTTTCAAGGTTAAGTTGCCACTATTTAATTTACAACCCTCGTAGTTCAAGAAGCGGATAGAGTCGGTGATGTATAATGGTGTTGGGGAATTTTTCATGGTTTAGCCTGGGTCATAAATTTCAGGTTTTCTTTAAACATGAATTCTGAGACGTAAGTGGATATGCTAGGTAATGTTGCTCTACCAATCTTTACGATCATGTTACGAATTACATCTCTTTCAAAAGGAAAAAGAAACTGCTCCATTTACACATCGAGACCTGAGCAGTTATCGTTTGACGAAAGCAGTGGCTAAACTCGACTGATCTAAATAAATCCGATAGAACAACTCTGGCATGAATTAGAAAGCAGATTATGTAGCCAGGTAACCAAAATTCTTCTCTTTTTGCCATTACTTTAGCTGTGATGAACACCTAGAAGTCGATTCCTATAGTAATCACCTACAAAAAAAGAAGAAAAACTGGTTGTCATTGTAAAACGTGTACAACATCATGTAAATATACCTCTCAGGAGTCTTCGAGTTCATACTATAGTGTGTCTAGATACTTTTTTCTAATTAGCATATATTCATCCCGGCAATATGGACTTAGTCTTATGCGATTTAACGTTAATAACCAAATGAGAAACAATATCTCCTACTTCGAAATAGCAATGCATAAATCTATCACCAGTTTAACCTTTAAACCTCGAATCTCCAAGTCACGTAACATTTAAGCAACCTCTATGACGAGAGTATTTAACAGTTTTCGGCAAATAATGCTTGTCCTGGTTTTGATAATTATTTGAGCTATTTTCAACTGTAATAAATGGACTACGTGCTTGTAGTTTGAATTGTTGAGTTGTTATTGAATAATTATTGTTTCAGTTTGCGATTGTGGAGAGGAAAATATAGGGTGTACATTTAAGAGATCTGAAAAAACTTGTCGCTGCTATCAGGGAACTGCTCAAATACACGGCAAATGTGAAGGTAAGAAAAATTCAAGAACTCCTTATTCTTCCTCTTTTTGGCACATGTAACTCTTTTGGACAAAAATGCATTAAGGGATTCAGAAGGAGAACTATTTTCCGATAACGATAATTTAACACTACTTCTCATTTTTTTTAAAAAATTAGTTGCGGGGAAGAGCGTTTGTATATCTCACGTACCCGTGTTGGAAGTGATTCAATAAGTAAAAGTTGTTAATATTTTGAGAAAGGAAAACTAAGTACTGCAGCTTTCAAGCATAAGAGTTATATGGTTCGGTGATGGGAATGTAAGACTTTCAAAAATGAAACAATATGGCAAAGAAACATCCTCTTTAATATTGAAAGATAACAAACCATCTACGAAACTTCACAAACTCCAATTAAAAAGTTATTCTTTAAAAACATTGAAAGTTGTTATTAAAAGAACAATTAAAAACTTAAACTTTTGATTGTAAATGTCGCATTCTGCAGGTGGGCGTCACCGGGAAGAATTGGGATATCGGGACGAAGTCTCGGACGCTGCACAACAACCTCTCTCGAAGGCAAACTGTCATCTGCTTAAATACTGGACTTCAGCCTTTTCACTCCCTGCCTTGGCCGCTGGTTGATGCTCCTCCGCCGGTATTCATCCGCGCAGGAACTATTTCGGTTCGTCCTCCTACCTTCGATCTTCGTTCCCATCCTCGATCCTTCTACCTCAGTTTTTCATGCAATCTGAGCTGACGCAACCAACAGCCTCTACAAGAGTCTTATTAGATAGATGAATTTTTTCAATCATGCCATTGGTCTGGAGATTATGGAGCTTTAACCATCGGGACCTCTCCTAAGCCTCAGCAGGCTGCTACAGGGGTGCATTACTTTTTTTAAATTTGTTTATTCATAACTCCTATTACTATTCCAACCTAAATGTGCAAACCTTTCTTACTTGCAGCAAAATAGAAAAGGAATAAAATGTTAATGAGAATAATTCCTTAATTAGCACAAAAAAACGTGATTCGTAGATATTTCTTAACTCACTTCAAGTAATTACTTTAATATCAAATTTTGCTTCAATTTTTTATCCATTGGCAAAATGGGTCTTGATTTGGATTTGATGGCATTCGCATTTTATTCGGACGTCATCCCACTTTTCAACTTTGTTCAAGAATAATAGTAAACAATGCGCATAGGTTGTTATGGCGACCGCTGCTGCTTGATAATTCTTTTAGAATTCTTTTTTCGACTTTTAATTTTGATATGCATTAATGTGGTGAGTTTATTGTATTCTTTTTTTCATTAACTTATAATTGCTGGCTTGACGGTGATTTCAATATAAATATAAATATTGAAGAAGGAAAAGAGTTTTGTGATGTCTGTAAACACGTGCATTCTGCCAATGCTCGTGTTTGTAAACGTACGTGCCAATGCACGTAGATTTGTAGACCAATCCGACGATAAATAACAATAAAAACAGTTTCTGCAACCCATGATTTGAAATTTTGTGGCGTTTAACGATGTCAACCTAGAAAGAAAAAGCATTTAACCAATGGGTAGCCAGTAATCATAATAAGGTGATCACAACTTCTTTGTTTCTCTTTTGCTTTTACTTATGTATTTATTTTTGAATTTTTACTGAAAATTTTTGTATATTTTAAAAAGTTTATTTTAAACTATTAAGCTTTAAATCAATTACAAGTAGTTATTGCAATACAAATGAATGGTTTATTACAGAATGCGACTGTGGACGGAACAGCGAAAATTGCTCTTTTGATTTACAAACAAACGAAAAAGTATGTTCATGTTATGAGAATTACAAGCAAAACCATGAAGATGAATGTGAAAGTAAGTCATGCTGTAACAAATCTATATCATCCAAAAACATTCTCGAAGTCTTATTCCCAGTAAGCCTTTATTTGATCTGTAATTATAAAGATAGAGGGAACTGAATCCTGAAAATCGTTTATATTAACTTCACTTCGATTCATTTTTTTGGCAACTTAAAGTTATTTAGATTACCAGATGATAGCTTCATTTAGTAAAGATGAGGATAACAACGAATGCTTAAACTTTTTACTTTTCTTTTTAACCAAAGCTCTTAGTTTTAAAATTCTGATAAGTCTGAAATATTAATTACTTTTATTCAAATTGAATAAAGGACATTTCATGTACTCATTATAAAACTCTTTCTGCCATTTCATTCTGCGTTGCTCTTTATACACCTTTTGGAGACGAGTCATTCCCAGTCCAGAGGATCAAAATTGTGTTGGCATGTTTTCCGGTCTCAATTATGAATTTTTAAAAGACCGTAGCCAACAGCTCTTTGTGATGCACCATTACGATGTAACTTTTGGCTTGTTTATTTAATTCTTTTTTACCTCCAAAACTACTGATTTCAACGCAAAAGGAAAATTGTTCTAAAACGAGTGTTTTCTAAATAGCATACAATAATTTACTAAATAGCAAAATACAGTTTTCTAACTTTGGGGAGCGTAGTCTATGGACAGGATATTTCACAAATATTTCATTTCCCTTTCGTACCAGCGTTGAACAACCAACACATTTTGGAGTTTACAACTATCAATGTTCAAATCCGTTGTCTTGTAATTTTTAACCCAACGAAGGAGGCAAAGGAGTTATTTGGAAGTCACTCGAAGAAGTCAAGCATGAAGACAAGCTAGAGCTAACCTTCGTAAAGGAATTTTTGATGAGGAGTTTTTATTTGTATAAGTTTTGACAGGGGTCAGTGAATGAAGTATATATAAATGGGTACAAAGTTTTCGAGCCAAATCCCGTGGAAGACTCTTTTGCTATGCTAAGCCCTCCCTTCAACAATCTTTTCATTTTGTCATGTAAGTGGCAAATGACCATATGGCCCATGACCACTATCACAATGGAGTTTCCACCTTCTACCAAACAACATGTCATGATTTCGGATAATAACCTGAGTAACTCTGGTGTGGTACCTCCTTGACAAAAGATGGCAGATTTAATGTCCACTCGGAATGTAACCATGTCCACTTGGACGCAAACCGATTATCAAACCTGACTGATAGAGAGAAAAACTTGGTGTGCCGTCCGCCTAACAATTAAAATCTCCGTAAATGTGACCCTTTTCAGCTATCATAGCTTCATAAGTGTCAAGTGCTAATTTTCAACTGAGCTTATGGTTGTAACCAGTAAATAAATACTTTTTTTTAATGGCGGGCACTTGGAGCTATTGTCCATTGGCCACAGAAAGTGCCAGAACTGCTAATTCTCTTTTCGTTACCCAGTGGGCACCTGTGGCGAAGCCACGGCGGTGGAACAGCGTCGCCCACGTCACACTACCACAACCCGTTTATAGGGCGGGTCACATTCACACACAAAGGAGAAAGGACATAGAACACAGATAGAGGGAAAGAAACATCCATGCCTTGCCCGGGATTCGAACCCAGAACCTTTCTGATGCAAGGACAGTTCCCTGCCCCCTACACAGACTGGTCGGCGTAAATAAATACTTGATAAAAATAAATTATAATTTTTCAAATTTCGATTATAGTCTTCTGGAAGGCATCCGAACTGTATTTTCTTAGAAATTTAAAGCTCGCCTGTAGCCCGGAAGGAAATTCTTATTTTGAAAGACTCTGATCAACTTTTATCACTTGTCATTGGAGGAAATTTAAAGTAACAAGATTCAATATAAAATTTACATTAATTTATAAAAGGAAAAAGTTTTTCTCACAAGTAAAATGCTTTTAGAAATGTACATATCATAAAATCAAACTTCATTAAAATATTTTTTTAACAAAAAAGTGAACAAATCTAGATTATAAAAAAATTTCCCGAGGTACATAAATATCTAACTAGAAAAACTAACTAAATATGCATAAAAAATGCAAAATAATTCATTTATCATCAACATTCTTGCTTTGCTATTAACATAATGAATTGCATTAATCTAGTATACAATGTCTACTATGCGCAGATTAAAAACGATATCACCCTGAAGAATTTTCATCCAGTGATCGAATTTTCCTGTACTAAGTGAGTACTAAGTACTAGTACTAAGTCTATTACTGTAGTTCCAGTACTAAGTCTTAATGATTCCTGGGGAGGGGATTTTAAATATGCTAATTTATTAGTGCTAAATATTAATCAAGTTATGAAATCAGACACAAAAACGTACTTTCTTTAAATAAACATATATACATTTTTTTACATATTTGGATTTCGGACCCTCAAATTAGGGGAAACAGACAAAACTTTGGTAAGATTCGTCATATCTTGTTAGGGGGGGGGGCTAAGAGGTCATATATTTTGCAATAGGCTCTAAAGACTGCCAAGCTATATCACCTCCACAAATGAGTAATTTAAGATAATCATAGATTATTCAAGAGATCAATACTAAATTTCATTCCGTTGCGAAGCAACCAATCTCAGGCAATTGAAAAGAATGAAATAAAGTATTGTGATTGTTTAAAAAGGTTTGTTTATTAATAGTTAAAAGAAAAATATCTCGAAGTTTCTGAGAAATATACATTCTTTGAACTGATTTCTCACCGAAAAGCAAAGATTGTTTACTTTTTAATCTCTTTTGGAAAGAAAATTTGAATCTATTTATAAATTATATATGATTTTTCAAACTTTTAGAATTTGAATAGTTAAATTTTTTATCTGACTTTATTTGCGGCTCTCGCGTAGTTAAAACTTCTATGTATTATTTCAAATTATCCATGTAAATTATGAGTATCTCAAATTATTCACACATGGATATAATTATTCATTGTGAAGATTTTACACTGAAATCAAATTTGTAATTTAATACAAATTTTTAGGGATAAACATTTTTACAGCTTTGATCGAATATTCTAGGCAAGAAGGTTTAAAGAAACAAAAAAAAATTTAACCGAAAAAAATCTAGTGGGTATGGTAATTGCAATGTTTATTCATAAGGTTTTATATAATTTTCTCCATAACTGAAAAAAATGATGAATGTTAAGGGATATTTTAAAAACATTGAAATATGTAAGAATAACATGATTTAATAATATGTTTTATAGTGTAGGATTCATTGTTTAAAAAATCGCTACATTCTGCTAAATATTTAAGTTACATGGTTTTCTTTGGATTAAGATGATTTACAAATAGCATCCTGATGTTTCGATACATTCTGAAACTTATTTTTGCAAATTCACCGTAAATTGTCGTACAATATGTTCTTTAATTACCACCCGCTACATTTATCGCCAAAAATCGGTATTATGATTTCTTTGCGTTTTTTCCTAACCACTTCTCCGATTATCCCGATTTAATTCGGGTATGTATATATTGCAAATATTTACTATCCCGAGTAAACTCGGGCATAGCAGAATTCGTCAATACGTTTTGTTTCATCACGTTTTTACTCGGCCGAAAGCAAAACGAAAAAATAATGATAATCTGCTGTGATTGGAGGTTTGCCAATTTTTCTGTTCTTGGAACTGCAGACGCGTTTTGTGAAATTGTATATACGATGGTTGCTGAATTTACATGAAAAAAGGAGTAAAAAAAAATGGCTCTCGCGAGTGAAAGTAAAAGTAATGCAGATGATTTTTCCGATTATGAAAATGTGAACATATACAACGACTAATATTTAGTTTTTTTCAATTGCCCGAGATAATTAGAGATAGTAAAATGATGGTAAAGTAAATATTTTTTGCATATAAAAAAATTAAAATTTCAACGTGGAACTTGTGTATTATGTTTTATTTTAGTTCCTTGTATTTATAAATAAAATAAAAAATATGTTGATTTTTTGCATTTTTCTTTCGATTAGTTTGCAAACTTGTTTTACGATTTTCATCAACACTAAACAGATACCTGTTATAAGATACTCTCCGTTAAAACAGAGTTGATAAGTTTCTTAAGATTCTGAAATAGTGGCAGCAAAACCAAGAAGCTAGAATGCATTTTATTAAGTTCACATTCAAAGCAAAGTTCAATTTCACTAACTCCAAATATTTGGTTTCAAAGCTTAATTTAAAGTTAAAGAGGATAACTTCATAATTACAGTATAACAATATTCATATTATAATACTGATTACACATATTCTAATTTTTTAAGGACTGCATGAACCTTATTAAAATATTAAAATGCAGATGTTTACTTCTACGGGCATAAAATTATGTTCGAAATAATGATTAAAACCTAGAAGCAACATTGCGCAATTGATTATCAAAACTTCATTAGCTTTAAAAAAATGTCAACATGTTTCGATCGCTCAAAAATAAGCACCCATTTTCAAAGCTCAAAAGGGATGAATAACTTGTTACGTCAATTTTTGAACGATCAAAACATGCTTACTTTTATTGTCATCTTCATATTTTTAGAAGTCAAAAATGTTTTATCTATTCGCCTGAGTTTTTTGGTATTACTCAATTAGTGACACGGTATATTAAATTACCTAGCGAGGCATTAAAATAATTTTTACTTAATATAATAGCATAGGCTCATAGATTGCAAAAATAATAATTAGTCACTACTTTCTAAAATAATTAATGCGATACAATTTTTGTTACTACTAACATTAAAAACATTTTTTAAGCATGTCAAAAAAATTCCGTTTACAATTGAAATTTCAAAAGTCGAATGAGAAAATAAAAGGTCTCCTATTTATCCAAACAGTTTAACGTTTCCGTCCTACTCGATGTTGATGAAAAAGTCTTTTTTTATTTATCGATTCTAAAATTTTCTCGAGATATATTATGAAATGAAGCTTGGAACATTAAAGGAACTAGAAACAATGGAAATCCAAATAGATTTCCAATATTATTTAGAAGAATGTAAAAGCTGTAATATAATATAATATAATATAATATAATATAATATAATATAATATAATATGCATAACAAAATATTAAATTTGAGAAAAATAGGCCAAATAGTTCCTGAGAAATTGAATTTTAAGCATACGAGTTTTTAAAAAAATTCAATTTCTCAGGACCTATTTGACTGATTTTGCTCAGATTTCTAGTATTAAATAAAAGTCGTCTAGTATTAAATAAAACAAAAAAAAATATTTACATGAGCTATTTTTTGTAGGAATGAATGGATTTTATTTTGAATAAATGGATTTTATAATTGTTCACTAAATATTTTCGATTCGCCTAAGTAGTAAAATTATCCTTAAAAAGTGAAAACCTTCAACTCCTCCCCTAAATCTGTTTTCAGGTTGTAGTCAAAAATTTAAATCCGTCTAAAAAAAATCTATTCAGGAAAGTATGTTTTTGTGTCTGATTTCTGAACTTCAAATAGCGTTTGCGCACTCTATGATTAGTATAATTGAAGTCTTCCAGTGAACCTTTAAGATAAAGTTCTAGTACGTGAAAATCCGATCATTAGATCAAGAGATATTCATGGTGTTCCATGCATTTATTTTTGCGCACATTTACATTTCATTCATAAAATCAAATTTATAATGAACTAATAAATTTTAATGAATTTGTTTTGCTATCTGTACATACAAAGAATATAACTGTTGAAATCTTTACTTTCCCAGTATTTCTTTGCGAACATTTTTTGTTATTTATTGAATTTATTTTACAGAGTGTGATTGTGGATATAATTCGAAAAGTTGTGAGTTTGAAGGCAATGTAAAGAAATGCATTTGTAATTATAAATACGTATATGCAGATTCTAGCGGCAAATGCGAAAGTAAGTTGAAAAAATTGAATAATATTAAGATATATGATTTTCCATAAGTTATTCTAAAAAATTTTTTTTTAAATTTTTTGTCACAAGAACAACATAAACTATTTTTTTTTCTAACATGCTCTATGTCTCTTTTAAATCTTTCAATAGGTTTGGAAAAGAAAAAAAAATAGTGCAACATTCTTGAAACAAGTTAAAAGCTCTGATCACTAATTTCAATGCTTGCTTCACATTTATTAATGTTTTAAAGACTATATTATTGTTTGAAATATTATTGTGTCCAACTAATTTTTAAGGTAAACAAATAAATTTTTGGTAATTAAATATAATTATTTGGTCAAGTAAAAAATATTTAAAAAAAATTTGGAAAGCAAAGACTGTTTTCATAAAATAAAATAATTAATAATGTCGTTCTAATTCCAACTAAAGTTTATATTTCATATTTGTGTATATGTAATATTGCTCACTAATTTCCATGTCTGCTTCGTGTTTGTTAATGTTTTTGAGACTACATTATTGCTCGAAATATATTTGTTTCTCACTGATTTTTAAGTAAAACAAATAAATTTTTATTTATAAAATATAATTGTTTGATAAAGAAAAAAATATTTAAAAGAAATACATTTAGAAAGCAAATAATGTTTTCGTTAAAAATTTAATACAGTAGTTTCAATTCCAACTTTTAGTTGATATAGATAATATTTCATATTTGTGAAATCTTTTATGTAATTTTAAATGAAACTAAAAAACAAGTGCGAGCTCATCTTCTGCGACTTGTCGGTTACAACATTTAAGATTTTAAGCATCACTTCTCTTTTACAAGGAGTAGCAGACCGCGAAAATTTCGCATCTTTTTCAAACGAAGACAAGACTCTAAACTTCGATTTAACGGCCACTGAGGACTGTTTTGCCTGTCAGCTCATAATTTATAATCTTATATATTACCATAAAGACTATGAATATTGTATTTTTTTTCCTTAAGAGAGTTGAAAGATAACAATTGTGATAAACATGGTGGTTTTATGGCAAACATTACTTTTTTAAATTTATTTTAGACTTCAATGACTGAAATAGAATTTGCGCAAAATAAGAATATGCGAAGAACGCTAGTTTTCTTCTTCTTGAAACCAACAATATATATTCATTATTTCAAGTGAGAAGTGCCAGAAAAATTTTGTAAAAATAATTAAAATTATCGTGTAAAAATAATTAAAATTATAATAAATTTCTCACTAAGCGGAATTAAATTAAAAATTTGCATGAAAGTCAGAAATAAAATTTACTTTTTAGAAGGTCAAAATGCAAATATTTCATATTTGCATTTTGACCTGCTAAAAAGTAATTTTCAGCTAAGAGGTGGGTTTTTTTACTGATGAAAACAAATAGATTTAAATTAACTATGAAATTTAATTTACGTAACGCAACGTGTGTTGTAATTTTGTTTTTTTAAATAATGCATACTTACTTTGCCGTTAGAAATTTCTCGGAAAAATGATTTTAAGAATAATTTATTTAATTTTTTTTTCACCACATTCAAGCAAAACAGTCAAATAAGATAATAATGAATAATAAGATTATAATCAAAATATAAAAATAAGATTGTAATCAAATAAGAAAATAAGATTGTAATCAAAATGTTAACTGTGGAAAAACCGCTAATTATCTGCTTTCATCTAATACGGTTAAATATCCTGAATTTTGAGATTTTATTTAGATTTTGTCAGACATAATATCTAATATTCATATTAGTATTTCTAAAAACTTTATTAAATTAATTTTTTTTAAATTAACTCAAGAGTTGAAAAAAGATAATAGAAATGAACAGTTTCCTATTAGAAATGATATATTGACATAAGGTTGTCCTTAACTAGTAAAATTATTTCTCTTTTATTTCTTTTTATTGTGTTTTTAGTTAATGAGTTTTAATGAAGTGGTTAAATATTTTTTTCTAGGATGTGATTGTGGCCCGATGGCAACTTCTTGTGAACTCACCTTCGACAAGTATACTAGATGCAAATGTTATTCTGGTTATGTTGCTGAGAGAAACAAATGGGAAATGGATGAATATTGCAAAAGTAAATATTATTTGTGTCTTATTGGGTTAACATTTAAAATACTGCGTAATTTTGTCCTTTTCATAGTGTAAACGTTCTTTATATTTTTCGTATAAGGAATAGGCGTCTCATGGTTGCGTGATTTTTTATACTCCCTACTTTTTTCTCTCTTCATTACCCAGGTTTCCACAAATCTTGCTTTTAGCTTGCTTTATTCCTACATTCTATATATGTAAATGTAGTAGTCGTTATTGCCAATCATCCATCTACTTCCGTGTTGAAAGGTGCCAGATTGTCTACAAGGGAAAAGTTCCGGAATTCGTAGTGCTAGAGTGTCTGAACGGGAAAAGTCTCGAAATATTAAATGAACTTATTCTTTGCTTTAGAGCCATTTAATTTTATTCGTCAGTCTTTGTTTTGCAATGCTGTGTGTATGCAGCTTCTTCACTATCGATGTCGCTGTTATACTTATTTTTCTTTTTCTTTAAATTTGTTAATTTTAATTCTTAAATTAATTTATTGTCTTTTTACCTCCCTTGCTTCACCACTACATCACTCTCTCTCTCTCCCCTCTCTCTGTATATATATAAGTCGTCTAGTATTAAATAAAAC